GCATATCTATGTATGCCAAAATTTAAACCGCATTATCCCAGAGTATTATGGGTAGATTAATGAAATACATATTATATCACTATTATCCATTCATTCAAACCCATAATTCCGGTAAGCTGCTATTACTTTTAAGTACAATACAAATTAATTACGAAATACTCTCAGGAATATGTGTCTGTGTTACTTTCATCCACTCTTGCGTTTCTTTTCCCTGCAATCATGTAAGCGTGATTTCATCCACTTCACCAGAGTAAAAATTACTGTAAACTGTCCTTTGCAGCGTTTTTTTATATTCATTGTTCGTTTACTACGATGGTTTCTCTTGATTACAATAAGTTGAAGTGTTTCTGTTATGTTTTGTTAATGATAGTCCACCAAAATCACCAAGACGTCAAATTAAGCATTACATTAACAATAGTGAAAAAATAAATTGCTTTTTTTCAATTTTTTCTTTTTCTGGCTGTAGCGTTTTCTTGTGCAATTAATGAGAAGGGTTAAGGTTATCATCTTGTTGATTTTATGTGGGAGTTCTGTACTTCTTTTTTTGTCGGTAGAGGTTGGCAACAAGAGGTATCTCGATAACCCACTAGGAAAGGAGAGGGGATGCATGGAGAGCCCTTAGAAGAGTTGCTGAAGAAGTTCAACTATATCTGTGTACGCAGTTTCTTCATGTGAAAGAGCAAAAATATGAAAAAAACATAAAATAATATAAAAAAAAGAAAAAAGAAGAAAAAAAGAAAAAAAAGAAAAAAAAGCATTTTTTGTTAATCAGAAATTTTAGGATAAAATCCACCTTAATTTGTCCAGACCTGTCTTAGACCCTCATTTGTTCTAAGACAAAACATAGCAGTGGATCCGATGACAAGATTTTTCCTTTTCCTCAGATATTTTTTCCCTTTTTGACAAGATAATTTCTCGAGAAAGAACTTCTTGTTGAGAGAGTGAATGTAGGAGGGGGGTCTCTTAGAATAAATTTAAGTATTGAAAAGGGAAAAAAAGAAAAAGTAAATGGATAAATATGCCTGATTTAAAAAGAAACTGCATTATTGCCGATGGGCTAAGAATATTGGCAAGAACGTAGTGCAAATTGTAAGAACGACAGCGATGTCGTTCTGTTTGGTTCCTTTCTTTTCAACTAAGTTGGCTATACTTAACTAAATTTAATAAAGGAATTGTTGAAATTTATTCAATTGAATACATTAGCGAGGAAAATTGATTATCATTGTTGGGTTGGTTAGTCCATTCTAGCTGTTCCTCTTTGGCAATCTCCACATCATTTTCTTAGATGATAGCTTATGCATCAAACAAGGAAAAGAAAAGTAACACGCATAAACAGGCAAAATGGGGCAGTATAATCCCGTGTTTCTTACGTCCTTTCTATGCCAGTAGTACTCTCAATCTATCTGTACAAGTTTTTCCTTTTAATTGGGTATTTGTTTACTTTCCTTTAAGAAGAAGGTTATAAAACTGTATTTAAAATATCGACGTCATCTAATGGTAATAGTTCAATGGACAACGTACCATTAAAGTTGTGATTAGAGAAATATCTTAAATTAAAATTAACAGTGACATTAAACATAAAAAAATGTAACGATAAGAGAAAACAATGGTAATTGAGAATACCTCGGTGTAACCTCATTTTTTGTTGATTCTGATACACTTCTTGTAGAATTAAGCGGCTTGAAAAGTAATAGTAACGTTTTAAAAATTAGAAATAAAACAAAATCAAGACAATTGATTTGAAAATTAGTTGTAATAAATTAGGTTTAGATAAAATCATAAAATTGGAACAAGAAACCTTTGTATCGAGATAGAGAGATACGCTATAATCTCTCAGAATTACCTACAAAAAAGATTCTAATAAATTGTTTTAACTCTATACAACAGTAATAAACTAGAAAACAAACCAGAAACTTGTAATAATAATTTTTAACAAGTTGGTACCTACAAAATACTATAATTCACCATCGGGCAACTAACACCTCAAAATCAAAAAAATAAAAAAGGTTTTGAATGAAACACATCAAATTAAGCTTGTAATGATTAGCCATTTTTACATACAAATCGAATGTCACCTCAATATCACAAGTCTATATTTGTATCTTAGTGTTACCAAAGACAAATCTGCCTAACAAAATGGTCAATAGGGTAGTACTCTTGAGCAAAGTAAATAAATGTTGCAACCGAAGACCAACAAAATGTAGAGAAAGAAATAGAGGCAGAAAGAGATTAAATCTCCAAAATATTCAATAATGGTAAAAATACTTCGAAATGCCTGGTTTAACCGTCCGCATTCGTTTCGAATGGCTAAGTTACGACGAGGGTTTACCCATAAATATCAGTAATAACAATACTTGTGTGGTTTCGGGTTTTGCAAAAAAGTACTATCGCTTGCATTTCATTCTCTGAGCTAGACGGGAACATCATACTCAGGAAAGAATAATAGGAATAACATTGATACTAAAACATCTCAGGTAAGATAGGAGAAAGAGACTCATCTATGTTTTACCACACTACTTTTAAAAAGAAAGATTTGATATTTTTTCACTTTTTACAAGAAGCATTTCTACTGACAATAGATGGAGAACCAGGACTATAAATATAATAATAGTAACGTAACAAATATCTGTCTGTAATAAGAAGAAGAACTAAAGTAAAACAGGTATATGTGCCTTGGGTTTTAGTGGTTTGATAGCTACAACTAAATTTGCAATTATAAGAAAAAAAAACATTTTAATGTTGCCAGTGTTAATATTCATGCAGTTTTTGTTTGTAGCGGTAGTTACCGTAACAAGCATTGGCCATAAGAGGGCAGAGAACCTAATGTTCTATAAAAGGACTACGTCTATTATAAGAGAGGAGAAAAACAGTTAATTCATTTGATTATATTTAGTATTATTGGTATTATCACCATCAGCAGAGGTAGAGGCAGAGATGGCAGTACTTTCTACTTACAAGATTGTAAAGATAGAGAAATTTTCACTTCAAATCATGATTCGAACTACTGTTGCAAATAGAGGAAGAAAAAAATAGACACACTACGTAAGGATAGAAGGAGAACAAGGAGGACAGGACCTAGACGATTAAAAACGACCAAAATAGTTCCTAGAACAGTGGAACAAATGAAGAAGAAAATTGTGTTTAGTATAATCTATATAGAGAATAATACTATACAAAACATCACTTGTCTGAGATTTTAAGCATCAAGCAGAATTTTATTCATATTATCCAAAATAAAAAAACACTTGATTTTACATAATATAATTTTAAGATTTAGAAAATATACTACTACTTGACATTCAATGAGATGGTTAATTCTGGAAACGAATGGGTTCCCCCCAAACTAATTATGACAATATATCCATTCTCATTAAGGAGACATAGTAAATGCAGTGTGCTTAATCTAGAATAAATTTAAATTTTCATTTGACTATCTTCAATAATATCATGAATTGTCTGAGGTTTTTCCTATTTTATTCTCTGCTGATCCTTTCTGTGATTTAATATTTCATCAATTAGAGAGTTAGTCCAGCTGAGATAGCATAGCTGATAATAGTATCTTTTTATTTTTTTGTTTCTGTATTGATTTAGTTTAAGAAATGTGGTTAACATTTCTTGTATCGCAGAATCCTGCTTCTAAAAAGGACGGGTGTAGGAAATAATAATTGTAGAAATAGTAATAATGATAATTTTATTATTATCACCATCGATCTATGCTACTGTTATTATCTCTATGAAGATGTATTTTCATTTAACTTAAGTTCTCTAAACTTACTACATGTGTAAGCTTTCCCAATATGTAGTGATATTTTTCAGAATTAATTAAATTGACTTCATTCGTACGCTATTTCTTCAAATGGTGTGGGATATATCGAAATGAAAATGATTCCCATTATGTTCTTGCAGCTGATAATTCCTTTACTGAATTTTCACTTAAAATGTAATTATATTCTCAATCTCTCATTTAGCCATAATTGTTCTATCAATACTAAGTTTTACTTAATCTTTAAATACAACTATATATCGAAATCGAAATCATTATATATAAATATATATATGGATAAGTATTTTCATACCTTTGAGAATTATTCTTTTTTCCATTCCTTAATTCAGTCTTTTTTCCATTTCTATCTGTTTTTGGTTCGACACTTAAATTCTATTATTTTAGACATTCAGAATTATTTAATTATTTATATCTATTTCACATTCTCTTCTTCTATAATATATTTCTTAGCTGTTGGTAATTACATCATCGCTATCCACATTATATATAACAAATAACCGTCAGCGAAAAAAAAAGGCTTTAATTAGTACCAATTATACTATTTTTTTAAGTTTGATTTAGGTACTATTTGTTTACTGATTTAATATAAATTTAACTCTTTTATATCAATCTGTCACTGTTAATATAGCATACACATTGATTATATACATCTACTAGTATTAAATATAGATCAAGCAATTTGTTCATCGTGAGCAGAATTGAAAAAACGAAGAAACAAACGAGAAGCTTTTTACGTCAACGTCACTAAGTTTACCAATTGTATTATTATTGAAATTAATCTAAACTACTAATAAATAAATAAATTCAACTTAATTGTTTTGAACCATGAACGACAGCAGCATTGCCATTACACATTCTACTAATAAATACATATTGGGTCCCATGGTAAGCGGTTTCAATGAAACTGTAAATATGAAAAATAATTTAAGGGTTGATTCAATCAATTCCACTGTTTAATTACTTTACCAATACTGACAAAAAATTTAGTACTTTGTTGCCAACACTACCAATCAACCAACACATAGAAGACGACTTGAAAGGTAAATTAAATAGAAGGGCATTAAACTTTTCGTTTATTGAAAAAGATGTCGATTCTGTTTCATTAAACAGAAATAATTCAAGTTCTAGTACATTGGTTTCCGAAATTGATAGATCATGTTTTAGTCCATCCTCTAGCGATGCTACGGCTAGTAGCTACATTGCAGTACAGCAAAGAATGCCAAATATGAATCAAATTAATAGTAACTATCAATCTAATATCATATCAACACCTTTTATGGTACAATCTGAATTTATTAACTCTCCAGTACCTCAACATAACGTTCAAATCCCAATACGTTCACAATCATCATCACCATTGAGTTATATTAATACTCCTGTATCAGAACAACAGCAACAACAGCATTATATTCTACGTCAACCAAGTCAACCAAATCAATCTGCATCACCAATACAATCTTACATTCCAGTTCAACAACACAATATTCAACCTGAATTGCATAATCCTATAAGTTTTATTCCACAACAACCTATTACATCTGAATCCCCAAAAGTTCCTTCAATGAAAAATACTAATATTTCAAGTTCTACTAAGAAGAGTGCTACTGAGAAGAAGAAATCTATCAATAACAATATACCAGTGACTAGAAAGAAAGGCACTGGCATTAAACATTTAAGCATAGAAAAGAGACGTAGATTTGAATGTAAAACATGTGGAAGAAAGTTTACAACATCAGGGCATTTGACAAGACATAATAGAATTCACACAGGAGAAAAAAATCATGTCTGTCCATTTGAAGGTTGTAATTTAAGATTTAGCAGAAACGATAACAGCTTACAACATTATAAGACCCATTTAAAAAAACAAAAGAAGAAATAAGTACAATATGTTCTTCTAAAACTTATATTCCTGATTCCTTTTTGAATCAATCATGCATTCTCATCATTCCACTACAATAATAGTTGTAAGATTAGTATTAAAGACAGCCAAGTCCTGGTGTTTTTATACAATGGATACTTCTTCAACAAGATAATCATATTAAAACACATTGTTTTAATTATATACATACCGTTATTTATAGTTCTATTTATGTATTAATAGACACACATACAATTGTTTTGGCAAATATCATCCAGTACCAGTAGATATAAACGTGTAACCATATAATATAAATGGTGTTTCTCTCAATTTAGTTCTGAATTTTTACCACGAGTAAAACTAAGATAGGTATCAATAACACCTTGTGTGATAAATTCCAAACATATACTGATTTCTAGAGACAGAAAATTCAATTGTTACTGAAGTGACAGTAATGTAATCTACCATGTTATATGATTTCTTACATACCAGATGATGATGATGCCCTAACTATATCGTGTTGCCATAATAAAAGTAACTCATTATGTACGTTATAATAGCGCTATGGTTACAACTGAAAAGTTTTTCTGTTTCAATACAAAAAAATTTCGAGTATTTAAGCGACCTTCTAAATGAGAAGTATCAAAAAAAGATACCAATTCTTTTCTTTGACTGACACTTTTGTTAAACGTTAGATTGTTAAGAGAGAGTTTTGTTATACCATACTACTAATATGTTAGTATGATCATGCACAATGACATATAGTTTTAAATTTATATCTCTATGGGGTACTAAATTTATAACAGTGGTATTTCATTTTATACTTTTTTGTTCTTGTTTAAATTTTAGACAAAACAAAGTGATAAATAATTCAGATGAATTGATGTCACTGTGATATTGTCTTTGTTGCATTTTATATGATAGTACGTTTTGTTTTATATTGGAAGATTTTGATGATGATAGCCTTAATAACAACAACTTGAATTTCTTCAACCGAAACAACAGGTGGAAACAATTATTTTGACATAGCTTTTTAACCCTGATCTATTATCTTCCAATATAAATCATTTTCTATCAATGCAATCTTTATATCTTATCATTTTCTTGATTATATATCCTGGTAATCTGTAATCATTCTTGATTGAGTTTTTACTCTGTAATGATTTCTGCCATTTATATTCATCGTCAATATCAACTAATTTCTCGTGCAGCAGACTTTGAAATTTTAACAACTATTTTAAAGAGATGAGATGAGATGAAGTCAAATGGAATAGAAGGTTGTAACATTTAGATATAGAATAAATAGATATAATAACGGCGAGATGTCCGAGGATCTGTTTAATATATGTGATCAATGTTTGGGTGATTCCAAAAATGTTAGAATGATAAAAGTACCTTCAGGTTTAGAATGTAAAATCTGTACTTATCCCTTCACTGTTTATAAATTTAAAACTTCCAATAGAGCATCCAATATTACCAAGACTTTAATTTGTAAAAGATGCTCAGACCAACGTAATATCTGTCAATGTTGTATGCTAGATATGACTTGGCATATTCCTGTAAATTTGAGAGACCAAATCATATCATTGATAAATAATGGATCATCCGGAACAATAGTAACAAAAGAAGCCAAAAATGATATAATGAAAAGGTACATTTCTTTAAAGGATATCAAATTGGGCGGTGCTGAATTTACTAGTGATCCTAAAAAGGTTCAAGAGTTACTCGATAATCTAAAGGAAGAATTAACTACAGGAAGCAATAAAAGTATTATACGGGAGAGTACTCAAAAATCTACTAGTATCACAGAAAAGAATTCAAAATATGAATCAGTAAATATCACTAATTTGATATCAAAATTACCATTATCAAATTCCATATCCGAATCAAGTGAGCCAACTAAATCTTTCTTTATCTATAACATTGATCCATCAATCCCTGAATGGAAAGTAAGAAATAGGATTAGTGAAATAATAAATCTCAAAGATTGGCAAGATACATCTTCGAATTCATTAATTATTAATCATAAAAGCAGATGTGGTGGTATTAGGTTTAAATCAGCAGATTTGGGTAATAAGTTTGTTTCATCCTTACAAGAAACAGGGAAGGTATTTACGTCATCAGAATGTTTAATAAGAGGTATAATAGATATAGATCAGAACCAAATATTCGTTATACCATGGCATTCTGGATTTTCCACAGCATCATTTGGTGATAATATTGGAGAGAACGTTAAATTGAGTTCACGTTTAGAAAAATTTATTAGAAAGGAAAGAATTGGGAAAGATTCTATCTTAATTGATCAACAGTTGCCATTAACAACTTCCAAAAGACAACTTAAATCGAATAAAGAAAATAAAAAGAAGAATAAGAAACCAAAAAGGATACCCAATTTACAATTATAAACTTAGCATTTCCTTAATTTCAGTTGGTATCTTACATTAAAATATAATGAAAGAATATCATAAATATTACATAAAATTAATCAGTTTGGCATTTTAGTCAGTTATTTTTTTTTATATAATTAATACAATTGACAGTATTCATATTGTTTAATCATTTTCTACTTTAGTATTGAATTACTAACAGTTCTATTCACTAAAAATATATAACTTGATCTAGTTGACTAATTTTACTGTGTCGTTGAGCCTCACCTCATCGATATTTTTTTTTTCACTTAGTTTTTTTCCCCACTGAAAAATTTTCCTGATGAACTTTTTAAGATCAACTATATAAAGTGAACAGATGTCAGTTGAATGGTTTGATCGTTTATGACTTCTAAAAGCTGCATTAATCTTTAATTGATTTCTTTTAAGTTAGTCAAGGAACATATATTGTTGTTGTTATATATCAAACTTTTCAAAGTAAAGCAAGAATGTCTCAAGAAATTACTCACCCAACAATTGTTGATGGCTGGTTCAGAGAAATCTCTGATACTATGTGGCCAGGTCAAGCCATGACTTTGAAAGTTGAAAAGGTTTTACATCATGAAAAGTCCAAATACCAAGATGTTTTGATTTTCAAGTCTACTACTTATGGTAACGTCTTGGTTTTAGATAATGTTATTCAAGCTACTGAACGTGATGAATTTTCTTACCAAGAAATGATCACTCATTTGGCTATGAACTCACATCCAAATCCAAAAAAAGTTTTAGTCATTGGTGGTGGTGATGGTGGTGTCTTGAGAGAAGTTGTCAAGCATGAATCTGTTGAAGAAGCTTGGTTATGTGACATTGATGAAGCCGTTATTAGATTGTCCAAGGAATACTTACCAGATATGGCCAAGGCTTACTCCCATCCAAAGGTTAAAACTCACATCGGTGATGGTTTCCAATTCTTGAGAGACTACCAAAACACTTTCGATGTTATTATAACAGATTCTTCTGACCCAGAAGGTCCAGCTGAATCCTTATTCCAAAAGGCTTATTTCGAATTATTGAGTAGCGCTTTAACTGAAAAGGGTGTTATTACTACTCAAGCTGAAAGTATGTGGATTCACTTGCCAATAATTAAGGATTTGAAAAAAGCCTGTGGTGAAGTTTTCCCTGTTGCTGAATACGCCTACACCACTATTCCAACCTACCCATCTGGTCAAATTGGTTTCATGGTTTGTTCTAAGGACAAATCTGCTAACGTTAAGAAACCAATTCGTGAAATTTCTGAAGAAAAGGAACGTGAATTATACAGATACTACAACAAGAGAATTCATGAAACTTCTTTCGTTTTACCAACTTGGGTTGACAAAGAATTGAACTAAGATATCTTGATGATACCTTGATTCTAAATAATTCAACAACTTTTTATTAATATAATTTCATATAGATGTATTTTACTTAATAAGTTTAATATATTATTCGCATTGTTAAAAGTATTTTATATATGTGCATTAAAAATAAGGTCATTAATACAACTTTGTTTTTTTAATATGATTGATACTAAAAAATAAAAGGTAAAAGGTAGATTATAATAATTTATCTAATTAAATTTAATTTTTTCATTACTGGCTTCCAACTAGAGTCCCAATTTTTTGACGATTCCTGAAGAACATTTTCCTTTAATACTTCATAAAGTTCCGCATCTTTCATTGCAAATATTAGAGATTCGTGTAATTCTCTTCTATCTGCAAATTTTAACCCATTTTCCTTATGTGTAACTAATTCATCTAAAACTGGATAATTCAATGCTAGAACAGGTAACCCCGAACCAAACATATCTAATATTTTCATGGGTAAGTCTAAACCAGAACTCGAACTATGCAATGAGACACCATAATCACATAAACGTAGTAATTTTGGATAATCTTCTGAAGATAACCATGCAAATTGAATAGTGCACCTATTCCATTTATAATCGCTCACTTGTTTCATTATTTCTTCTTTCATTGGACCTTTACCTGTTATAACACATAAAATCTTTGGCAAATTATTATCAAATTTTTGGTAAGAGCTTTCATAAATCTTCAATGATCCAATTAGTATTCCTATATCTTCATCTGGTGTAAAAGAAGTAGATGTCACTATTAATTTATCTCCTTTAGTTAAATCGAAATCTAAAGGGACCAAATTCTTCATGTAAGGTTCGGATTGGATTTTATCATTTCTTTCAACTAAACTACCTTGGAAAGGACTAAATTGTAAACCGGGACGGTCATAAAGAACATAGCATCTTGATTTTTTCAATCCAAAATTATTAACCAAGTAATCTTTCATACTTTCAGTCACAGTTAAATTGTAATCTGAACTTTTACTGAATATGTACTCAATAACGAATGAGATTAACACTAAAGGATGATAAAAATTGTTATTAAATTTCAATTGTAAAATCGAATAACCAAGGTTATGCCAATCGACCATTAATTTACAACCAGTTAATCTGTAAAAGGCCACGATCGGTAATATTGGAATAGTAGGAGGATTTTGAACTAAAATGATATCACTACCTCTCAATTCCCATAAATGTCTTAAGATTGAAACAATTTGGAATAAAACTTTCTTAATCATAAATAATATCTTACCGCTACTCGAGTTTGTCAATTGTGGTAGCTCATGTATAGTAATATTTGAATCATCGATGATTCTTGCAGGGATATTGGAATTGACATAACCACATAATTCTACTTGCCAACCATTTTCACTAAAACTAATTGCATGATTGCACATTCTTGGAGAATGACCAATGTCACCAATAACATAAATAATTATCCTTTTCTTAATAGATTTAGTTCCAACTAACAAAAAGGGCATAACATAATAAACCCAAACCGTTAAACTAAGATAAACTATCAATAAGACCAGCAACCATTGTGAAATATCTGAAGACCATATCATGATTCCAGATATCCAATCTTAATCAATCAGAGCAATTAATCAATAGCTAACCTAACACTTCAAATCAAAGGATTCTTGACTGCTGTCACTTCAATAACAATCAATTAAGTATTATCAAAATTTAAATAGATTTCAATGAATACAAATAACACTTGATCCCTACCAACAATGTCGATTCCATTGTTTAGAAGGGTCTAAATGATGAAACTCATCTGTTATTGTTCAGTTCTTTTAAATTTTGGTCATTTTAAAAAATAAGAAGCATCGAAGCATCTTAAAGTTTAAAGAAAAGTTTCATTCAAAAGGTTGTTGTTTCTTTACATGACTTGGAAACTTATATAGGAATATATGTTTCTATATTATTATTATCAATCTATCGATTTGATTATGTTATTCGATATTTGATATTTGATTGTTAGAGGATTGGGATCATCTCCGGTGTATTTTGTGTGATTTATTGGGATTTATATAAATATATATATCAATATTTGGGAAGTTTTGATATAGTGTTTTCAATTGCCATTATTATGCCTTATTCGTGGACATTCTATGCATTAAATGAGTTTATTGACATTATTAAGTATATCGATGTATTGGAAGAATTGTTTGGCACAACTATAACATACTATGTACATAATTTACAGAAAGGTCCAGATGACAGCGATGATGCTAATCGTTTTAAGAAGATTGAATTACACTTTGAATTTGAAGACTCTCAATCCAAAGTTATTATAATTGGTAATGATTCACTGGATGTACCTGCAATTTTAAGTCATTCTGGAGACCATGATAATTCAGGCAAGATTTTGATCGATTGGTTCAAGTCGGAAATAGATGTTATTATATGGCAATTGAAGATAAATAAGAAATTGATGATTCAATTGGCAGATTCGGTTATTGAAAATGATATTACTGAGACAGATTTATCAAATAGAAACTGGTATCTAACAAAATTTGTATTTGATGTTACAACAACAGTTGATAATAATTTACAAAAAATGGAATTTGAAATTTCAAAGGATAGTTGTCAAAAATTGGGAAAGAATGCTAAACATCCGTACAGTGAAGCTATAATCCCTTATATATATGAGAATACGGGATTAGATACAATAAAATTGCCATTGTCATCAATAAGCTTTACCAATTCCTGTAAAATCACAGAAAGTAACATAATTACCATTCCGTTTTCAATAAAATCAAATCTTTTGATTACATTTCTGTTAGAGACTCAACCAAATAATAGCAAAAGTTGATGATAATATGTATATTGTTTATTTAAAGAAAATTTTCAGAATATTGACAAAATTAAATATTAATTAATTAGTTATTTACAAAAATGACTGATCTATTGATGATCCTTATTTTGGGGTGAATCATCAAATGATAATGAGATTAAAACATATCGATTCAATTAATGGTCGATGTCGAAACTACTGCCGCACCCACATGAACTTTTTAGACTTCCGCCCAATATTTTAAATGATGACCCAATTAATTCTTTGGTATATGTAAGATAAGTATTGTTTAAAATGGTCAAAGATTTTTCATCAATTAATATTTTAGTATCATTCTCAGGTATTATAAACACAATCATTTTATTGTCAGTGACATCATCTGAATCAAATTCTAAATCATTGTCGTCCTCGTCTTCAATACCTTCTTTGATTTCACTGTTCTCTAGTTTGGAATCTGAAACCTGTTCTGTATTCCCAAAAGATTGTACTATATTCTCTACCTCAGTTTTTGGGATAAGTTTTAAGTTGTACTGGAAACCATGACATCCACCGCTCTCAACTGATATCTGTAAAGCTTCGTTTGAAGTTTTATTGATTTCTGACAATCTCCTAGCTGCTCTTTCAGAGATTTTCAAATTTAGCTTTGGATTACCATTGATTATCTTCAATGGAGTTACCAATGGCTCATCATTCGGTATACTTTCATTAGAAGTGGTATTTGAATAATTTCTTAAAACTACTGGAAATAAAGGTATCGATCGTCTTTGATAAATGATCCTGGGGCTGAGATACAGAGACGCTCTTCTAGGCACAAAAGAAATTGATCTGTACATTTATTGATTCAATTTAATTCTCCCCCTCTCTATATATATACGATTTCCAATTAAGAAAAGATAGATTGATGTTGACTCTAGAATATTATAAATCAATTTTCCTAAAAAACAATTTGGCCTTGATCTATTGCTAAATGAACAAAAATCGGCTGAAAATATTCACTTGTTGCTACTCTTACAACTGGTTTGGAATATTTCAATCAATATCAGTACTCAAATACAGGAATCATTGATTCAAATCCATCAAATTATTCATTATTTAACTAATAATTAATAAGGAACGGTTCTGTTTTAAATCAAATCAAGTTCGGATTTCGATACTAAGAGACTAGTGCAGCAGGGTAACTAAGGCTGATTAATTAAAGTTGCAGTATTATACAATAAAATGAATCATATTCATGGTAATTGGTATATCAACGATGGATAATTGAGATTGGTATGGATTAAATACTACTACAAACTGTACAATTTGGGTTTCTCTGATGGACGTAGACGTAATTGAATACAGAATCCGAGCCATTGTATATACTGAAATTCTTCAAGTTATCGAAATTTAATAAGTCGTAATAGATTTTGATTAACATATTACAACATTGGCCAGCAATGATTGCATTTGTTGTTGATACACTAGGGATGATTTTTTTAATTACTCCTAGGATATAGTTTACATTAAATTTTTTTTCATCTATGGTTATATTAAATTGGTTTGCTCTCTCGATACATAATTGTAGTAATTTATCAAGGTGTGATTTATCATCTAAGTTTGCATTTGTGAATTGGACATTGATCACGTACTGGATAATGTGTTCTATTGACCGTGGGTTATTTGCAATCGTGCACATCGGGACAGTTTCTTGTATTGAAGGTAAAGTGTCTATAGAGCATTCCCAACAAGAGGTGATGCCTGGAATGATTGTTTTAACATGACCTTTAAAGCCTTCTGTACCACCATCTATGAAAGGTATACATATGTTATAATTCGAATCCTTAGTTAATTGTAGAATTTTTTGGTTGATGAATCTTCTTGGCTCGATTGAGTCTAAACCTGATATAACAAAGTTGAATGATTGAATAAAGTCCATTGATAAATTGAAGATATCTTCATTATGAGCGATGATATTGATATCTAAATCTGGGAAATGATTATCGAAGTAGCTTTTAGCAACAATTGCCTTTGGTTTGCCGATATCATTTTCATTGAATAAGAATTGTCTATTTAAATTTGTTAGTTCAATTGTATCAAAATCAATTATATGAATTTCATTAATAATCTTATTTAAAGGTATCAAGTTTTTTAAAATTTCAGAACCTAACCCACCTGCACCTAATATCAAAATCTTTATCGTTATAGCTGAACCTGAATTGTAATTCATTGATGTGATGTATTCTTATGCTTTCGTCTGATACTTTTCTTGTATAACATTATAAGTATGATTAGAAAATTTCAATTTGATTTTATTAGAACAATATTTAAATAAGTTGCAGCAGCAGCAGCAACCTGCTTGAAAAGAAAGGAAATGTAATGATTTGATGGTGAGAGAGTTAAGCCTAATAAACTGTATAATCAAATATAATATATATATATTTATATATGTGGGTGTGTATAAGGGTGGATAAAAATATTTAAAGGGTAGATAGGATGGGATAGAAAGATCATTCAGCTTTGACACCACCTAAGCCAGCTTTTTCAGCTTCTTCGATAGTTTTTTTATCAGTTTTGTTATCATTTGAACCACCAAACCCACCAAACATGGATGGTGCTTTGAATGGTCTCTTCAAATCGCCAACAGCAGGTTTGTTGAAGATGTGAATTTTAACTAAATTGCTTTCTAAAGCTGATTTAACAGGGGAGATCGATTGCATGAATAATGGGTTTGTATATTTCATATAGAAATGCATGAAACCCATCATTGCGATACCTGAATAGATAGATTTAATGGAAGAATCGATTTGTTTTAAATCGTAATCCTTAACGGTGGTAGTTTCTAATTTTTCACCTTCATTTGACATTGGGTTTGCTGGTACGACATATTTCAAAGTAGTCAAATCGTTTTTTTGTACAATTTTAACTCTTGTTACATAGTAGATGATCCAAGCGATTGCGACAGAAGAACAGTATAGTATTCTGATATAGAAGATGGTAGTTTCATTTTCCATATCCAAACGTCTTGAAATTTGCATCATGACAAGCATGATCAAAAGATTGGTAATTTGAGCATTCATTTTTTTATTTTTGCTTAATACAATTCTTGAGTAAGAGAGAGGTTGGAGATGATGAAAGCGTTGACTGTATCAGATGGGAGTATGGATGTCTAGTTGTATCCAGTTGCAAACGAACAAACAAACAAACAATCAATCAATGGGATTTGATATATTATTGAAAGAGATAGATTAAGAGTGTATATATATAAAGGAAGAAGAGAGAGAGAGTGGAGCATGTGTCAGCAGTGAGCAGAGAGTTGTTGAAAATGAAATGAGATGAAATGAAATGAAATGAAATGAAGTAGAAAGTTCTGTGAGATTCCATAAACTCAACAAAGATTGATATGATGGGTCTTGAACCCGAGAGACAGAGACAGAGATAGAGAGAGAGATACTCTCTATACTCTATCCTCTATACTCTCACAGCATTAGCATAAGCATTGGTTCATATTCACTGATGGATGGATCGTATGGATGGTATGGGATGGGATGGGGACGACGCATATGCTTGCTAACCAACGTGAACAATTTTTTTTTTTGTTTTTTTCGTTTTTTGTTATTTTTTGCATTTGGCGGCGGTGGTGGTGGTTGCCGTTGGATGTGATGACTGCAAAGTATATCACGTGCGTGTAAAGACAGGGTAAACTGCATTGCGTCAGATCACTTTGGATATCACATGCACAGCTATGTCGTTGTAGACGATGGATGGTCCTGGGTATCCATCATTTCTGTTTTCCTCTCGGTACCGTCGTCATCGCACAGCACAACCCACCCAAAACACTTTGCCTATCTGTGAGTATATCACGTGTTACGACCTGTGCAAGAAAATAAGAATCGACAGCTGCTGTTAATGGAAAGAATAGTTGAATACCATCAGCAATAGTATGGTACGCCTCATACCTTAGCATAGAACAGAATAGAATTAAAATAAAATAAAATAAAATAAAAGTAACTATCTGAAGCAATCTATCTGTTTTACCCTTTTCTTTTATTCTTTCTTTTATCTTTTGTCTGCCATGCCGTCCTCACAAGATATTGTACAATTTACTCTATCTCTATCTCTATCTCTATCTACAACTTCACCCAGCTCAGAGCCAATACACTGGAAACAGTAAAAACCACTCACTCTCTTCTTACCACCAAAACACTTCAATTCGATCAGTTTAGAGCCTGTAACATTCAAAAGAAACGCACAAAAGAAACGTCTCGACCATCCCGTTTCTTTTGTGGGCAACCTCATTCTCCCTTTCCCTGCCTGTCTCTCTTCCTCTCTCTTCCTCTCTCTTTCTGGCGTCCAACTCTAGATAAATTATCTTTCAGCTCACCAGGAAACATAGACACCAACTACACAACCACAACCACAACAAGTTTAACAAATTTATCGTCTATTCGATATGCATATTTCTTGTTAATTTGGTCATAAATGTGGGTTAAGTGGTCGCTAGAAGCTGAAAACAGTTACTCATTTCTACACGTTTATTCAGTAAACTCTCTACTATTCATTAAATTTCGATGCTATTCATATCCCATATCCATAATCGATTCAACCCAAACTTATCTGTTTCGATTGCAATTTAAATTATTCCCTCTTACTCACATTCTCTGCCAAAAAAGAAACGGCTGCCAGATGTCTTATCGTATAACTAAAAATTGATAACGATATAATCCGATGAGCAATAACTAAATTTACCATTAATAACTATTCTATATTACCAACTTACTCAAGTATATATATATACATATATATATGCCTATAGTAACTGGCTAAATTCTTCTTGATTTATTCTGATTTATATTCAAATTTCACTATCTCGTTCTATCGGTCTCACAACAGATAGATCATATATATATTCTCTCACACATCATCATCCAACTGCTAAATCATGATTAATAAGTCACTAGAGTCTTCAAAGCTAGCAAATAAAAAATCTCTCAATCATCAAAAATTGGTCAATAATGACCTGTTTGAAGTGTTGCCAGTGCCTTCTGAGGTTTATGAAAATAATTTGAACTTGAGTCTAGGTTTGAAAAAAAATGTTTCAAATGATTCAGACGATATTTATAAATGTTCAATAAAAGATTCTATTGACTCGTTGAATTATTACAACAATAACAGATCGCCTTCTCCTTCAACTACGCCCATCTCAGCAACTGCACATCTATCCAACAAGAAACTAATAAATACAGATAACTCATCATATTCATCAAATCATGTTAATGAGTACCCAATAGAGTCAATAGATGATTTCTCAATAAACCAAACTAATTTCTTAACATCTGGTTATACTTTTAATGGTTATCAAATTTCGGGTTATAAAAAATATCAGGTCACTGTAACTTTGAATACAGTCAACTTGCCTTCAGTATCAAATCCAAATTCTGGCAACACCCTCCTCCAACCTCATATAACTGGTTTACTATCAATCAAAGGTTTAACAAATCAATACCCAGAGATTTCTACCTTCTTCGAAGCTTACGTAGTAACTTCAAACTCATGCACCACTGATAAATTAGACTCAAATTTTGGTTTCTTATCTTCCAGTTGGTCCACTCATGAATCGTTGGATCCATTCAAAGCAGACGATCAAACTGATATAGAGCATTGGTCAAACTTTTCATCGTTCCATCAATTATTCCCTGGAAACAAGAAACAACCATCGAGTTCAAAATCAAATGATGCACAAAGTATGATAGATGGAACTGCTCTTCTAACACCAGAAAATTATATTAATCAAAGATATATATTCATGAGATGGAAAGAAAAGTTCTTGGTTCCATACGAATTAAACAACTCCATCGAAGGTGCTTCCTTTGATGGTTACTACTACATAGTACATGACCAACTGACAGGTTCATTCAAGGGTTATTACTATCATAAGAACGCCGAAAGATTCCAACAATTAGAATTGGTTCCTGACTTCAAAAAATCAAACGTTCATTCTAACTCATCCTTCGAATTTGCATAACCTTTTCATCCAATTGGTTCCGAACAATCAATTATTTTATTTTATTTTTATTATTGTTTTTTTTTATATAGCATATAGATTTTCATTCAAATTATAAATTCATTCATTCATATCTCATTAACAAAATAGACTTCCCATCAACCTAATCAAGAATATAACATACATAAACGCTTATCTTACTTTATTTTATTACTGTCATCTTGTATTTAGTGACATTGCTATAAAGAACGATTTATTCGTAAAATTAATTTTTAAGCTTAAAAATCATGCAATATATAAAAAGAGTTCGATAGACATGAAATTTTGAATGATATAAGTGAGTTTACTGTGATATAATTGGTATTACAGTTGGCAGGATCAGGATACCAACTATTTGCATTTATATATACTATTGAAATGGGTTTGAACAACGTTACTAGACCAGATTTAGCTGTTCGGTATGTATAATTTTTGTCTTCATTATATAAGTGGATTAATTATTGAAATAATATGCTAACATTAAAATTGAACGTATATATGTCTTTTGATTACAGTTATAACCATGCTCCATTACCAAGAGATTCTTCTGTTGCTACTGCTGGATTTGCTGGTGTGATTAATCAATCTATGCCAATGGCAGCTATGTTTTTAAGAAATAAATTTGTTGCTTGGTTTGCCTTAATTCAAAGTTTCCATTATTACTTGAACATTGATTCTGATGACATTGCCAAAATGAAGAAAGCTGATAGCAATGGTATGGATCAACCTCCATCTATTCGTGTATTGCTTTCTTTGGTTTCTTTGATTGTTTCTTATCTAGAATTGATTTATCCACAACCTGCACCTCCTTTACCAACTGATAATGCAAGTAAGTCTGAAGAGACTAACACTGCTACTGAATAAATTATGATTAGGGAGACGATAATAAAATAGAAACAATATCATACTATACCATGACATATATCTCCTTATAGACATTATTATAGTTAATAAGAATAATAATAGTAATAATGCTAAAAGACAAGAATATGTCTATATATAAACTTATAAAATTGATAACATTAAAATAATAAATTATGTACCGGTAACGTTTAATTATTTATCATAGACTAATTAAATATTTGTTAAGAATGAGTATTAAGAAAAGGTATATTCATTTGCCAATATCTTCAAACCAATCGCTTGGTCTAGTTTCGATAAATAAATTCATAATACTCTTACATCTTTCATCATCGACTACTAGCACTTCAGCACCTCTACTTTTCAAATATTCTTCACCAGGACTCTTGAAATTGACATTTTCACCAACAACAACCCTTGGAATACCATACATTAAAATTGCACCAGTACACATATCACAAGGAGATAAGGTAGTATATAAAGTAGTATTCTTATAAACTTTACCTTCTAATCTACCACAGTTTTCTAATGTTGAAATTTCACCATGTAAGGTTGCTGAACCTTTTTGAAATCTCATATTATGGCCACGACCTAGAATTTTACCATCCTCGTTATTAATTAAACAACCACCAATTGGAACACCACCTTCCTCATAACCCTTGGATGCTTCTTCGTAAGCAACATCCATACCTAATTTATCCCATTTACCATCAGACATCTCGATATTTTATTCTATTCCTCTTATTATTATTAAAAATTGATCAATTCGATTATAACGATCAATAGCAATTAATAGAATTCACCCAATAAGAACTAAAAGGTCAATTGATCTAATATGGTTCTTATAAACTTAACTCATTGATTAAAAAGAAAAAAAATTTTCACTTTTATATAAGATGATTTAATCATTTCGAATAATTCCGATGTCACACAGCTTAGCTTATTCATCAACTAAGCTTTAAATTTTTTATTAGAATGGTGATACTTGTTGATGTAAAATTTGACACTGTCTGTCGACGTCAGGAATTTAGAAAGTGGATGATTACAAGTATCTTTGATTTAGTTTCGATTGATAGTGTTGTTTATTGGTATATATTGGTAAGGTAGAAAATTGTATATTGTGTATTGTTGTATTTTTTGTCAATTCTCTATTACTGAAATTGGTCGATTTTGAATTATCGTTGTGACTCTGTCACTGCTAGTTGTTGATAAATTTTTATATTCTTCGTTGACATTACACTGTGAAAACCAAATTAAGAATATATACATGTGTTTATTTTTGTATCAATTACTTAAAGTTCTTGTTGGATTATGATACCAATATATATCTATCTATCTATCTCTCTATAAATTAAAAATAAAACAGTATTTTGAAAAAAATCTATAAAACAATACGGTCAAAAAGAAAGCATATGGAATTATGTCATGTGAAGGGTAAGGGGTCACAATTGGTTCAGTTCATTACTCTCATTGCCAGTTCGAATGCTGTAAAAGTTGCAGCATTTGCTGGTGTCGCCCTCATCATCGTTACACCAAAACCTTTAAAGAATACTGGTAATCCACCTCTTTTATATAAATCGGAACCAACTTTAAATAATGATGTGCTGAATTTTGGTTTTTTCAAATTATCAGATTGAACTACCGATTTAATCACATCAATTGGATATACCAGCATCCACAATGTTGTACCAGCGGCTGCACCGAATAAACATAATTTCCATGGAGGTATTTCAGTTCTTGGAGTTCCCTTGTTGACTTGATTAGCAATTAATGACTCGTATACTAAAAAATATATCCCTACACCATGGCCTGCTCTTAACATCATAATAGGTAACCCACGCATCAATTGACCTTGGGAAACTAATTTTTTGATACAATCAATTGGACCTTTAAATTCTGCATTTGCACTTGATGCAGTTTGAGTTTGCAATCTAATTCTAACATGTTCTATAGGTGAAGCTAAAAACGAATTTACTACACCACCAGTAAACCCACAGATATAATATTGAGGTAATGTTAAAGTCTTGGAACCATTGTTATTTCTGCTATTGAAAAATCTTTTCATATATTCGTTAACACCAAATTGAACAGATACACAAGCACCAACACCTACTAATGGAATCAAAGTACCTTTATAGAACCCAAGCAAACCTTCATTTTTCAATAAATCCTTGATCACTTCCATTTGAGTAGTATTCTTCATAGAAGTTTGTAAACGTACTTTAGTAGTATCAAAAGGTTGACCAACTAAAACCTGAGCTATACCACCAATAGTACCAGCAAAGAGATCCTTTACGATTCTAACATGATTGTTGGCAACTAATAATTGTTCATCGACAATTTGAGGTGGTACTAATTCATCTGACATCTATTAAATACAGCTGTATGTTGCTTGTGCTTTTATATATATATATTCAATTGAGCTAAACGTTTTAAAGCCTTTTCCACTACCAAATCTTATTATATCCAAATGTAAACTATTTAATACTCGATAATGAATCCAGAAACCAATAAAAAATATGTCCTCACAACCTTCAATTGGCAGGATCTAATCACAATATCTAGCATTTGTTATAAGTAAAACTTAAATCCTAGTTCGATTCCAGTTTAATAATCCAGATTTAAAGGTTTCGATTCGAACAATGGGATATATCGAATTTGAAGATTTTAATTCGAATGATGACTCTTAAAGATAATGAGATATTTCAGAATTAAAGTTAAGTTATGATGAAGAAGGAAGGAAGGAATGATGGAATAAAACAAAATTTACTCATATTGGAACAACAGTAGTCTGTACGACTCACTTTATCTAAGGTTAATGGTCACTTAAAGAATTTTATTCTTTTTTTTAGATCATTGAGTTGATAAGATCAAGGGTATTTATAATAACATCGATGTCTTTAAAGAGAAGGCTATCTTCAGATTTAGAACAGGAGAGTGTCGATAGATCAAGTTCTAAGTGTATAATATGTAATGAGTATCCTTGCCTGAATGAATCTATTCCGATTGAATTATATCAAAGTCATATGGATAATTTACATGATAATATCTGTATAAAATGTAATGCCAATTTCATTAATGAACATTTGTTAAGTATGCATCTTGAAGAATCTCATAATCCTTTCAAGCAATTGAAGGATTTGAAATGTTTTGAACCAGATTGTTCAATCATTGTTAATTCTCATCAGGAGAGAATTAAACATTTAAAATCAGTACATAATTATCCTGATGATTATAATTTTAATATTATCTATAATGGTGTTTAAATTAAATACAAATATCTACAATTATGAGTTTGAGTGTGTGTGAAGTGCCAATGAGTACACACTAATGCTATGGTAGTTTTGATAATGATGACGATGG